AATGCATATACATCAGGCGATTGCACTAGAACCACGTAAACGCAGATAACACTGATTTTCAGTTTACTAACGTGTTTTATTCACAAAGAGCATTAGTTTTATACATTTCCTAGTACAATATCGGAATTTCATATAATTCCTAGGAAATATATAGATTTCCAAGGATATGTGTGTATTAAAAAATCTTTGAGACAATTTTTTATACATTTCCTAAATAGCCTCGGAATTGTACACATTTCCTACATGTCTGGTAACATATAAACATAATGTTTGATGTTTTAAATGTTATCTACCTTCTATATTTAGAGAAGTAAATGAAAATAAGTATTTCAAAATTAAAAAATCAATGTTCGATAACGAATGCTTTCAAGTGAATAATGAAATTACATCAGAAAGTAAATTTTAAGCAAAAGTATCTTCATGAATTAATAAAAAGCTAAGTATCTAATTCGCTTTGAAGGTGCTGTAAATTTGTGTGAAGACAGACAGGCATTTGTATAATAAATAAATCCTAGCACTTGTTCTAATGTTGTTTAGTGTTTTATAAAAGGAAACACCGCCGCTTACGTTTTTATTGTAAAAAGCATTATTTGGACATTCTTGATTTATTTGCTTTTCTCTTTACGGCCACCTTCGTGTTCCACCTACATGAAATATGAAGTTTATGAAAATTTAAACATGATTTCGTGCGAGTATAAATAGGCACAATATCTTCAGACTAATTTGTTAAAAATCGATGCAGGTCGTTGCTCTGCTTTAATACCTATAATTTCCAGTTAGAAGACATAAGCCCTTTGTATTTCTTGCACCTAATTATTTTTAAAAAAATTGTTATATCAGCATTAATCTTAACATACTGACATACCTACTATATGCATTATCAGTATATATTCGATAAATTTACAAAATATATTCGATTTATAAGAAATGAACAATAAAATCGTTCTTTTTAGCCTATAGGTAGGTAGATTTTATTAAACTCAAACTAACAAACAATTGGTTATTGCAAAATAATTTCAAATTTTGAAAATGTGATATGTTATGTATAATGGCTAACATCGTTACTTTATAATCCTTTTCGCGATATTATGTTACTGACAAAAAATTGTGAATTGCAACTAACCATTTACAATTTAACGCATTAATTCTCGATAGTTTATAGTCTACCTAAATCAAATATTAAATTGTAACGGATGTTAAAATTGTACAGATTATGACCCTGCAGGTTTTTTCACAATTTGGCGATTTAACATGGATAGATTACAAACTATCGAGAAATAATATATCAAAATGGAAAAGCTTTGTTAAAATTCACCCTTTTTTGTCAGTAGCATAATATCTCAATGATTATAAGCTAATAATGTTCACAATTATACGATAACATATCTATATATTTTCTTAATTATGAGCATCTATATATAAGTTTTTATTTTAATCGTCTGTTTTTATTTTTTATAATGTATTTATTTTAAAAACCCGTTGTGGCTTGATAACTTGTTACCTCCTGCGGGAGTTTTATATCAGAGCCGGGCAAACTTTCACTTCGCAGGAGCCGCTACATGAGATGAGTTTGAGTCACTCCACACCCTTCAATGAGTACGAGAAAGTAAGCAGTAATGAATAATTTTGTTTTGTGTATTTCTTCTCCCTTCCACTCCCATATCAAGCTGCTTCATCCCGTAGACGAGCGAAGCCACTCTCGCAATTTAAATAATACCAGCGAAAATTTTCGTTACTACGTTCGCAAAACTATTGGGTTTGGCTATGGAAGAGGGGACTCATCTACGAAATGGAAGGGCAAACTCGGCTCTTTTGACTCTCAAGTGCTCCTCAATGTTAAGCAAGTAGCTCCTCATTGATCCTGCCAAGGCGAGTAAGATGATTCTTTCTTTTTCTTATCCCCTCCATTTCGTAGGTGAGTCCCCTCTTCTATAGCCAAACGTTTTGCGAACGTAGTAACGAAAATTTTCGTAGGTATTGTTTAAGTTGCGAGAGTGGCTTCGCTCGTCTACGGGATGAAGGAGCTTGATATGGGAGTGGAAGGGAGAAGAAATAGACAAAACAAAAATATTCATTACTGCGTACTCATTGAAGGATATGGAGTGACTCAAACTAACCTCATGTAGCGGCTCCTGCGAAGTTAAAGTTTGCCCGGCTCTGAAATAAATAATACATGTGTGCTCTTTCCTCGTAGCACCTTCCACGATGTTTAAGCGTTTAGGGTGACTACTTAGTTTAGGTTAGTTGGGTTAGGCTATCCTAGCTTCATTTACAACGTTCTACTTTTCAACTCCACCCCCTACGCATACACTCCTTCGACCCCATCTCTTAATCCTTTTTTAGTTTTGTATGTCCCCTCCGGTCAGCTGGCAGCTCATGTACATAACTACCAATTTGATCGCTCACCTTAGCCCCACCTACAAACACTTCGTGCGTTCAGCAAGGTCACTACCCTGTTTTACCTCTCAGAATCTGAACAATTACTAAAGCATATAAAAATCACACCACATAGAATGAAAAATATACAAAATTATTTTGTTGTTTTACCACTGATATTAAAACAAGCGGTTAAACTGATTTAACAAGGAAAATGTCATTTGAAATCACGGAATTTAAAATTCGGAAAAAACAGAATATGAAAATCGAATTTCCAGGGTACGTTTGTTTATGAGTTCGTATGTTCGCTTCTATAACAAAAACGGATTGCCAGGTTTTAATAAATCTCACAATGTAGGTATCTTTAAAATGTTATAAATATCAGTATAGTCTAACTAGATAATTTAATTTTTTGTCGAAACATATATTGTAGACTATAGCTGAAGCTGCTCTAATTAATTGGAAATATATTGCGTAAAATTATACACGACAGAACGTTTGAAGCTTAATTCTTTGTTGACAATATCATCTTACACGATAAAATCAAACAAAACAAAAGGTAAGTTCCTTAATGGAATTTTTAATATTTTTTTTTATTATTTTTTGAGAATAATATTCAATACAGCCGCTGCTTTTCGAATAAAAACAAGGAAGCCTGTCATCGCTTGTTTTCTGGATAGATTCGAGATTTGGGTCTCTTACAAACTAGATATCGATTGTCTAATAATTTTTTATTTTAGAATAAATTCAAAATTACTCTAAAGAAGAACTTCATGGTAAAAATCATAAAATAAGCCGTAGTGAACGGCTCATTTTGTAACTGCAGTTGTTTTTATTAATTATTCATGTAGCAATTTAATGGAAAAAATTTTTTAACTCAGTTTTTCTACACTTTTGTAACCTATCCCTAGAGGCACAAATAAAATGATTGCCAACTTTTTAGATAAGCGTGCACATGTGTCTTCGTCTCCATATTTCCTCTAGTAACAAGCTAGTAATGTAAGTATAATAATCAAATAAATAATAATAAAAAGAACTTGCTTCAAAAAATCGGCCCGTTCTAAAAACAGAAAAGTTAGTACATATACAGAAGCCTTCGAAATGTGGTGTTATAGGCGAATGATGAGGATAACGTGAGTAGAAAAAGTTAGAAATGAAGAGGTATTAGAAAGGATAGGAGAACAGAGGACGATGGAAGTCAATAAAAAATAGGCGAGATAGGTTGGTATGACACCTTCTCGGGCATGAAGGTCTAGTCCAAGACATATTAGAGGCAGAAACAGGAGTTAGGAGGGGTAGAGGTAGACCTGGATAGATGTGGGTTGTTCTAGTTTTAGGGAAATACGAAGTTTAGCTCAGGATAGGAAAGAGTGGAAGTACGTGTCCAACCAGTCTTAGGACTGACGACCTTATGATGATGATATAGTGATAGAGATCATCCGTAAAATCATTTTATGTTTAGGTATAGAATTTATGTACAAAGTTGCTATGCTCCCTCTCTGGAACACTTTTTTGGCACAGCTTGAAATTACTGTAAATACTTCATTTTAAAATATTCCGGAGAGAAATCATAGTAAATTTATGCAGAATTTATACGTTTACTGTGACTAGTAGCATTTGAAAAAACTGCATTCTGTTTCTCAGTCGGTCCAGTTTTTTTGCAGCGAGTTCTTCGAATATTAGAAACGGAATATACCAGTAAAGTACCTTCCATTTCCTAGCCAACATCGGCAATGTTTGCATAGCTTATCGTACCACTGAACTACAGGGTTCAGCGGCAGAAATGCTCGCTTGTCATATAAGAGAACTGTTCCACTGTTCACTCGAATAAAATTAGTAAATGAATAATTAGCTTTAGTGTCACGGAACGAATAAAGTTGACCAACTTTAAGTTACCTCTCATTCATGCTGCATCAACAGCTCCGTACGAGTGAAAACGGCTACGCGTATTGGTAATAATCTCATTCGAGTGAACAGCAAAAAAAAAACTTTTGGGTGTTTCATTCCCACCAGCCAGTAATGCTGGTGGGCGGGCAGTCCCTCCGGGCTATGCCGGAAGGTAGGGCGGAAGGCCCTCTTCAGCCTGCTTTCAGGAATCGTGGGAATGGGTGGGTGGTGGTTCGGGTGACAAAGTTGAGACGGACGAAATGAAGACAGAAGAGAGTGAAAGATTATCTGTGGAATATTACTGCCTCAGCATTTGCCTAAGTGATCCAAGGAAACCACAGAAAAACTTGGACCAAGGCAGACGGACAGACCCGGAATCGAACCGGCGTCCTCCCGAATGCTAAGCAATGGTCTAGACCTCTAGGCCATGCCGCTCGGTACGTGAACAGCAAAATAACCCACCCTCCAGACGGCCCGGGTTCCATGTTCTATCGATACAATGCTTTTTTCTTTTTAATTTCTGTTTTTTTCTTTATTATTTTAAATTCACCTCTTGAAGGTTAGGTTACAATTACAGTTAATTCAGGTTGTCGTGATTTGAAAGACAAAGTACCTTATCAATATTAATCTTATTAAGCAAGTAATTTCAGTTGTTGAGATCAATGAAATCGATATCGTTCCAAAAAAGCAAAGAGCATATCGTGGGAATAAGAACCTTATCAAAATGTTGCTCTTACCGGAATAAGATTGCTAACCGTTTGAATATGAGGTTGTGCACATCCATCTTTAGCTGAACCAACACTCTGTTTCTTCTTCGGTGAAATCTGAATTTGATTCCTTCTTCTATTCTGTCGTAAATTATTTATTACCCTAAACAACACTCTAATTTTAGCACTAGTCCATGGTCCATGATGAGAGGCTCTACGTCCCTCATATGTGGTCGAAACGTTTCTTTTCCGCTTAACTTTATATCTACACAAGTTAATTAAACAACGCGGTTCGTTGGGACTGTGAGGGTCTTCTGGACTATCAGGTACTGAAGCGCAACAGTTCCATCGCTGTCTTAATCTTTTTTTGCCGCAATGTTCTGTAACAGGTGCAGGTGTCACAACATTTGTAGTTGTAACGCAAGTGTGGCAGTCCTCGCTGACGTTAACGGGTGATGTTGATGTGGCATTAGTACGACTAACGCAGGATTCTTCCAGGAGAGCACAGGAAAAGAAGGCAGCCACATGTGACTTTTTCTCATAATACGAAGGTAGCTGACTTGTATCGACGCAATTTAATTCCGACGGACGGTGATGCGTCAGCGTTGAACACAAACGTTTAACATCCTTGACGGGAGAAGACTGAATTTGAACAGGAGCAGAATTGGATTGCTGTTGGCGTTGATCCCGAATGTACTCGTAAGTAGTAAGACCGAGAAAGGAGATGTAGATATGAAAAAAGCACAAATGAAGTAACAGTCCAGCTGAAACGACGGCTAAAAGTCCAAGTACCGCTACTATCGCTAGGAATACGAAGTCGTTAGAAATGATTGAGATGAATTGGTCCGGTTTGGTTTCGGTGACATTTGTCTGGGAACGAGTTAGAAAATTTGGATTCGTTTGGTGTATAAACAGCTCAGCAATCGCTAATATTGCCACAATAATTGCTGCTATAAGTGCAGTGGAGACGCACATCAAGAACGAAACGTAATTCCGTCCGCCAACGCAGTGATTGAGCCACTTGCAGTGATGATCGAAATTTGTGACGCACTTATTGCATGAGCTACAGTGTTTGGTCCGTGGTCCTGAAATATAAAAAAAAATTAGTATTTTAAAATTATGAACAATTTAAAATTAAACGATGTACTAATTGACAGTTAAACAAAACGTACGGGTGCAAAACATGGACGGTGGGAGCGGCGGAAAAGAGAAGGTTAGAAGCGTTCGAAATGTGGTGTTACAGGCGAACGATTAGGATACCGTGGATAGAGAAGGTTAGAAATGAAGAGGTATCAGAAACAGTAGGAGAACAGAGGATTCTATAGAAGTTAAAAAATAGGAGAGATAGGTTGGTACGAAACCTTCTCCGGCATGAAGATGTCGTAATGATAATGATACCGTGGATAGAGAAGGTTAGAAATGAAGAGGTATAAAAAAAGAATAGGAGAACAGAATAATCTATAGAAGTCTATAAGAAATAGGCCAGATAGGTTGGTAGGACACCTTCTCAGGCATGAAGGTCTAGTCAAAGACATATTAGAGGCAGAAACGGAAGTTAGGAGGGGTAGATATAGACTTTGATTAGATTACTGTTCGCAAATAGTTAAGGATGTGAGATGTTTTAGTTTTAGGGAAATGCGAAGATTAGCTCAGGATAGGAAGGAGTGGAGGTGCTTGTCCAACCAGTCTTCGGACTGATGACCCTATGATGATGATGATGACACAAAAAGTAAAAACTATGCATGAATTAGGTAAGTGAAAAAAACACAAGGAATTTATAATTGAATAAGCCCATGCAAATAATTTCAAAAAATTGTTAGCACTAAGCACTGACCCTAATTACTACACTTAATATCAGCGCGCAGTATCCACCATTTTATTTACGCTAAGTAGGTAGTTGAATCAACAGACCCAAGTAATGCGTAACGATTTTTACAATGAACCAAATTATTGAAGAAAGGATTTGCATTAAATCTTGTGTTGTGAAAAGAATTTCGAATGCATACATAATGTTAGAGAAGACTTATTGACTTACAGGGGCCTACGAGTGTGCAAAGCTTCAATGAGAGGTGGAAGATGGTCGAAGATAAAAATACAATTCCAGCTTGAAAAAGGTAGAGCGCACGAGACCTTCAAATAAAATGACAAACGGTTAATGAAATATACTATTGGACCGTACTGAAGCAATTGCGTCAGAAAATCTGTGAGAAATAGCCAGAACTGGAACAAGTTGCAGATTTTTCACAACGATAACTTTTGAATGAACTTAAGGTCAAAAACGAGATAAACCACTAGACATCTACCTTATTTAACTGCATCAGCGGACGATAGGCTGTCTCAATAAATTTTTGACCAAATCTAAGGGGTTCTTAAGGATGTTTGGGAGGTATGTCAAAATGCTACGAGACAAATAAAAATTTGAATGAACGTTCCTCATTCAATTCTAAAACTCCTGTAAAAATTACAAATCGATTCACTAAACCGTTAAAAAGTTATTGAAATTTTAAAAAATTGTAATTTTACACGTCATTTTATGGAGATTCGTTAACCGAACAGATTAAATTTATTTTTATTAACAGAAAAAAA